GGAGGAATAGGAGACTAAGTATTTAATATTTTTTTAAATCTGTAGTTCTATCCTGACGGAATTACAGGGAAATTTCAAACAGCACTGGACACCTATGTTTAGCCAAACTGAATTCTACCCAACACCCTGCCTGAAAAGTGTTCCTTGGAGGCACATCCCACCCCACCCCCCAAAAAAAAAAAAAGAAAAAACAAAAACAAAACACCACAGACCCCAGTTAGTACAATATATCCGAAAGTGCAGGACTGTGTTGACTGCAGCAGCTTAACCACTTAGAAAGAATATGCACTTGTATGAAACATCATACTATGAGATGTTCCTCACAGCTTTCCAGAACAAATGAAGCTGCTGCCCCAGGAAGTAGTAATTCTCTTCTTCAAATGTGTGGAAAAGCATAGTATTAGTTATGAGAAAGTAAAGCACAGGGATACAACTGGAGCTCTCTAAAAAAATGGCACAGGGACTGCAATCACATAACATGTAGCCTCATTTTAGAGAATAGAATAATAATTAAATGCAAAAACCCACTAATTACAATGTCAACTGCTTTTTATATTTTAAAAGTAATTTGCCAGTTCGGAAAGGCTGGGAACTGGTGGACGGGCATAGCCAAAAGGCTTATGTGTGACCTACATTTTTTGTTAGCATGCCTTCTCCTTTTCTTTCTTTTGGAGCTTATTTCTTTTTGGCAGTAAACGTGAAAGGAAACAATAACACATCATGGAAGACCGGTTATGCTTAGCTATTCTGTAATATAACTTTGAGGAACAATCTGTCATTGAATGATCACAACAGAAAACAAACATATATAGACATACATTATCTGCTTAAACAGCTGTGGCTACGTATTGGAAATACGGTTTTAGTTTCAGGAGTTCCTGACCTGTAGCCAAGAGGTGGAGGTGGAAATTTTCATGGTTTAGAAATAATTTTATGCCTGCCTATCAATTTTTCTGTTATCTAGGCATGAATAATTAAACAGATTACTGGACAAATGGCTGTAAAGTGATCACTTCAAATGGATTTAGACCTTAGCAAATGTTTGCTTCTCTGTATTTAAAACCAGGGAAGATTAATTACATTTTTAAGAGGCCATTTAACTCTCAGGATGTTTCAAGCATTAAGAAACTTCTAAGACTATCACATTTAAACTTTCAGTTTTCATCTGTCTGAAAAAAAAAAAAAAAAATCTATATGTTGCTGTCATACCATATCAATTTAATGACTATTACATTGAAATCAACATTGCTAGCGGTTGCAGATCATGAAGTCCAATTTTAGTAATATATCTCCTCTTAACACTCAGCAGTTACCAACACCCAAACCTTAGATTGGAGGAAACACTGTCAAAGCCAAACACTTTAGAACCAAATACTCAAAACCAAGTTTGCCCATAAAACGTATATAGGTCTAGCATGGTTTTGCAAGCAGCATATCCCTCCTTCATTTCCTGTGTGAACACAATGATGTATGATGACATCTACTCATATGGCCTATGTAGGTAGAAATAAATAAACCTGAAGAATGAATTTTTTTTTTTTTAATGTAATCAAATTTTTTTGTCTCCTTGTCCAACGATTGATTTATAGCTCTGCAGAGAAGACAAGTATCACAGGACATATCAATATTCTTCTTAAAAGAAAGATCCTTATCTGTGTTACTGTACTTCCTTAGGTTTTGGGGTTTTTTGGGGGTTAGTTGGTTGTTTTTTAAGAGAAATATTTTGTTTAACTTTAATCAATTTTAAATTCTAATTTAAATTCTAATCAATTTTAAACCATTCAGTTTAGTTTCTGATTGACAGGCCCTTGCATAGTACTTTCTTTGTTCAGGTGATTAACTGTGGACCGCAGCATTAATATTTTCTAATTATTGTCATTAATATTGTCAATGTATTTGATTGCTATTTTTAAAATACAGCCAATATTTTTTAATACAAGACTTTGAGGGTAACATTTTCAAAAGCTGAATGACTAAGTTCCTTTGAAAATGGAACATAATAGCTTACCTTTTTGACGTGTATTTTTTTTCTTTAGTGTACTTTTTCAGCATAATTCTTCTTTTGTTTCAAACAGTAGTTGTTCAAAACAGTAATTTTACAAAACACTTTTTTATTCTGAGATCTAGATTAATAGATTGTTTCAGCCGTGAAGACTATTTTCCATTTTAATTTTCCAGTTAAGTGAAATGTCTCCAGAAGAAATACTATAAACTTATTGAGAATACAAGCATTGATTGTACTATTTTAATATTCATGTGTTTCAAGTTGCAAGTATATGAATTGCATAGATTAATTCATTTTTATGCTAATATAGCTTGACTGTAAATAGAACATATAGTTTTCATTTAAAGCTTTTTATCAACATTTCATGTAATCTTGTATGTACTTTATTCACTTATCTGCGGTTCTAATTCAAATTATTGTAGCTTAAGGCAATTATGTCACACCATACTGCTAATACAATAGATGTATAGGTTACTTCCTTAGTATGATTGTCCTGGTTTCGGCTGGAATAGAGTTAAATTTCTTCCTAGTGCTGTATTTTGGATTTAGTATGAGAAGAATGTTGATAACACACTGATGTTTTCAGTTATTGCTAAGTACCCTGTTAGTCAAGGACATTCAGCTCAAAAAAAACCCAACCCAAAACAAAATAAGCGTTGGGAGGGAGCACAGCCAGGACAGCTAGCCCAGCTGGCCAACGGGGTATTCCATACCATGTGACGTCATGCTCAGTATATGAATGGTAGGAAGTACCCATCGCTACTTGGTTATCGGTCAGCACGGGTGGTGAGCAATTGTATTGTGAATCACTCATTTTGTATATTCTATCATTATCATTGTTATTTTCCCTTTTCTGTTCTATTAAACTGTCTTTATCTCAACCCACGAGTTTTTCTCACTCTTACCCTTCCGATTCTCTCCCCGTCCCGCTGGGGGTGGGGGGAATGAGCGAGCAGCTGCGTGGTATTTGGCTGCCTGCCAGGTTAAACCACGACAGTCCTTTTTTGGCACGCAACATGGGGCTCAAAAGGTTGAGATAATGACACATCTGACCCAAACGGGTTAAAACAAATTTGTTATAAGCACTCATTATATCAATTTAGTAGTCGCTGGTCACCATGTTGGTTTATTTACTCTCAGAATTGTTGGATCTGTTCTGGGAGTTTTGGTATATAGAACCTTACTGGCTGTATATACTGCTGATTATCAGTATTTATGTGGGGTTTATCATCTCTGGGAAATGGATTAAGGTCATCGCTTTGCTATACTG